ACACAAACATATTCAGTCTCCCTCACGCCAAGCTTAAACCCATGTATCATACCAAAGTGGAGACTTAAGCTCAAACGCAGCTTGAGGTTGACTTTAATATTTTCAGATGTAAGGGTAAGAAGTATCATGCTCCGTAACAAGTAACTTATGACACATCAATGCCTTAAATCATACTGCAACAGCATAAACTAGAAATTCCTAGTTATTTAAACATATAAGTCCCCCCACTTGGATAGAAAGAGCTAAACACAAAGTCAAAACAAAATCATTGGAGCGGAAATAGGTCATTAAAAAGTGACTGTCATTGGATGTATTGGTGTAGTCCTTCTCAAGATGTTTCCGCATATTAAGTTAGATGACCATCAGACTTTTAATATCAGAGCATTAGAGCAAAATGCAAAGTCATATGACCATGACTTACGGATGGAAGACCAACGAAAACAGCAGATGTCACTTATGTGGCGGAGGCATAACAAGGGCTTGCCATATAACGAACATTTACAAATATTTCAATAGTATCATCAAACTGATAGTACAAATCATGAATTTGTTAAAAATCAAAAAAGTCCTAAAAAATTTATGAATACGTAAGGAAAGTATGGGCCATTCTTTATAACATTTAAATATTGCTACTTAAACGACCTCAATCTGACTGTGCATAGAAGAGTCTCTTTACCATGACTACTATCCTGGCATACATATTCGTGAAGTCTTATCATGTGATTTCCACCATAGAAATAACACAATAAACACATTCATGAATTACTTCTTTACAAAAAAAGGGCAATTATTCAACAAATATCCCTATATTTCCAGAGCAGTCACCAAAATGATTGCTGTAACAGAAATACAATTTAACACAAACTCCAGACTTATGGCACTAGAACGAATATCCAATATCAATAATAACAAATAATGCCCAGGTAACTAGTGTATAGACGTAGAAAAATTTCATATAAAAAACAGAACATGAATGATGTTTGATTGCAACAAAGCAAAAATAGGTAATGCCCAATACTGTGGAAGAACGTGTGCATGGTATTCCTTTTTTCAATACTACCGTGGAAATTTTTGAAATATTTCCTACAAATATAAAACTTATGAACAAGAATGACAGTTTTGAAAATGAAAATACATTTTAAATGTATAAAATAATATCAAGTAAACTACTAGATATATTTGCATAACGGAAGAATTCAGATAAAAGGTACTAAAGAAAATTACGCAATTGGAAGAAAAGTGGAAAATGTCTGAGCGACTGTTCAAGTTTATATTCAATGTATGTATACTTCTAGGTAAAATATTCCTTTTCCGAGACATACAAACTGTAGCGTCAAATCTGTATTAAAAGACCACCATTTACAAGTCGAGAAAGTGGCCTATTAATGCAGGTGGCCTAGGCCTGTTCAATGGAACCATCAAAAGTGGTCTCTTAACACAGATGGTCTCTTAATGGAGGTGGTGGCATGAGCAGGTTTGACCGATAAAAATAAAAATGTAGTCATTTTGAACTGAATAAAACCCTGACCTGTTCAGAGTAGGAAGCCGTCAAAATAGGAAGCTTGCAGGTTCATAATGGAAGAATGATTTTACATTTTAATACAAAAATGATTGTAACACAAATTTAAACAATTCAACTCCTTAAATAACTACATACTACATAACTAGACTTGCGTATTGGCAGATACTGATGCTGTGATTGGAAAATATAGCTTACCTACTGCTTCTTTACAAGTACATGTCCTTTGGTAGAGATTGTCAATGGGCTGTCATCAGAAATCTAGTATTTACAATAATGGATATTTATAAATGTACCCTTTGGAAGTCATTTGTATATTACTTACGTTTATTACGGATACGAGGACAGATCATTCTTTTTGCACCAAAACCATAATCAGCACTAAGTAATAAAATTGATGATAGCAATACCAGTTAAAAAATATTAAAAGTTTAGCCATTTTGTTTCATTTTCACAACCAATAAATAATGAAATTGATTATATCAATACCAGTTAAAAAATATTAAAAGTTTAGCCATTTTGTTCCATTTTCACAACCAGTGTTCTTTATGTTTTGGTGTTATAAAATTTACTTTGAGGCCAATACACATTCAACACACACAACACAGATTTAGCCTTCTACAAACCGGTACCTGCATTCTGCATCTAATGCACCTGTTGATGAAGTTAATGATTTAAGTAATTAAAGTTTGTTTTCTTTGGTAATCAATCCGAATACCTTCATGTATATACAAAAATTGAAAATACTTTTATTAATGAACCATCACCGATACCACGCTTTCGTGTAAAATTAAACGTGATGGGGGAAAAAAGGTTTTATCACAAGAAAATTCGTTTTTTAGAAGAATTTTTCATATTACATTCAACTTTTGAGGAAATAAATGCTTCATTATTGCTGGCTAAAATATACTTTTGAAAAATATTAAAGCTCTTGTAAATAGGCCCAAAGATTAATTAATACTGTATTACTTTATCTAGAACATGTATGACTTATCCCAAAAGATCTGATTGTTTTCAACTCTTCCTCAAATTATCATTAACTAAGTAACAATCAACTCTGTTGTATTCCATCTGACACTTCAACTCATTCACCCCTACTTATCTAAACTAGACTTGCCCAGACATCTATTTGGTAAGGTTTTAATGTGACTTTAGGGGTGAATGAGTTAAAGCAAACTGCAATTTAAGTTAGAGTAATCTCCCTTGATACAATATTTTTCACAAGTTTGAAACTCTATGAATGTCTGTAAATTAATGCATTCATTTTTACTTTGTCCCAGGGTTAAACCTTGGTCATCAATTGAATCTGATAAGTCAGATTTTATCATCGATACAAATATTTGACAAACTTTGTACAGCAAACCTCTCAAGATTACAGAAATATACAGGTCAGAGTTAGGTAGCATACATATGTATACTATTTATATATTGTTGAAGGATATTTGTCACACAAAAAAAGAAATTATCAATGGTACTCAAATCCGATAAAATGTGACATTACGTCTTTGAGTGACTATTATTTTCACAGGAAATGGAACACAATGTTTTAATAGAGTTTTAACAGAAATATGGAACAATACTGTACGAATGTAAAAATCAAGTCTACAAAACTCAAATCTGTACTGAATGAGTATTACGGCAAATACCCAAACAAAACATTGCTATCCTATACACCATGTCATTATAATATCATAGGTCTAGATAAAAACACACAAAAAATGCACAACCTTTGCTATTCCTTCTCAAAATCATTCTACAACACGCAACATGAAAAAAATTCGGTACAAAAATAGCAATATGATACAAAGCCAGTGTAGCCTATGGTTTGCTAAACAAAGACTTGCTAGGAAGCACTATTATATTTGTATGGGTTTGTTTTCAGCATTTATTTCTGTACAAAACAATGCATTAACAATATCCTCATAACATTCTACTTTTTAATATGTAATACTGATCTGATATAAAAAAAGGTTTCTTTGGCAATGTGGTACATAAATACATATACAGTATCTACCAGGGTTTGGTGGAACTTTCTAATCAATATATTTGCACTCTTTAGTCAAAATATGAAAAAAGCAACCATTGCCTGGCAGTGCACCATTCTTTGTTTTGGTGAATTAAAAATTATTCCCTACCAAGCTACTTGAAGATCAAAACAGGGTTATATCTGGAAACATACCTGTTTTTGCATAAATAAATATAGGTCATGTTTGACAATAAAATGTGTACTTGTTTTAGCTCAACTATGATAACATCTCGGAAATGATATTATTATGGGTAAAATATTTGCCATGGTTGTTTACATTTGATACAGAAAACAGTAAATTATGATAACTTGGTATCAGACGACAGTGATAACTAAATATCAGACTGAATTGAGAACAGATATCAGACTGTATTGATAACAGGTATCAAATTGTACTATTAACAGGTATAAGACTGTGCTGATAACAGGTATCAGACTGAATTGAGAACAGATATCAGACTGTATTGATAACAGGTATCATACCATATTGATAACAGGTATCAAACAGTATTGAGAACAGGTATCTGAACATATTGAGAACAGGTATCAGACTGCATTGATAACAGGTATCAGACTATATTGATAACAGGTATCAGCTTGTATATATAACAGGTATGATTCTGTATTGATAACAGGTATCAGACTGTATTGATAACAGTTATCAGACTGTATTAATGACAGGTATCAGACTGTTTTGATAACAGGTATGAGTCTGTATTGATAACAGGTATCAGACTGTATTGGTACCAGTTATCAGACTGTATTAATGACAGGTATCAGACTGTTTTGATAACAGGTATCAGTCTACATTGATAACAGGTTCAGACTGTATCGATAACAGGTATCAGTCTGTATTGATAACAGGTATCAGACTATTGATAACAGGTAGCAATGCAAATGGGAGGAGAAAGATGTTCATCAGTCCAGGCAGTCATATAACAAGGCAAAACTAAACAACCCATGTACAAAATTATTACTATCAGAGACAAACATGTCATGAAAATCAGAACTACAATGTTGTTCCTACAACACTGAGGGTCTTCTTTGGCTGCTGATGAATGTGTACACAGTTCATGATGAAGAGGAGTGGTGGTAGTCCTGGTCTAGGACGATGACTGATCCTTCAACCGTCTCACTGATGCCTGGTGGTAGTCCTGGTCTAGGACGATGACTGATCCTTCAACCGTCTCACTGATGCCTGGTGGTAGTCCTGGTCTAGGACGATTACTGATCCTTCAACCGTCTCACTGATGACTGGTGGTAGTCCTGGGCTAGGATTATGACTGATCCTATGGTTGTCTAACTGATGACTGGTGGTAGTCCTGGTCTAGGGTTATGACTGATCCTATGGTTGTCTCACTGATGACTGGTGGCAGTCCTGGCCTAGGACGATGGCTGATCATCCAGTTGCTCTCTAATACTAGTCTAGCACAATGACCAGTCCTTCATTTGTCTCACTGATGACTGGTGGTAGTCCTGGCCTAGGATTATGACTGATCCTATGGTTGTCTCACTAATGACTGGTGGTAGTCCTGGTCTAGGATTATGACTGATCCTATGGTTGTCTCACTGATGACTGGTGGTAGTCCTGGCCTAGGACGATGGCTGATCATCCAGTTGCTCTCTAATACTAGTCTAGGACAATGACCAGTCCTTCATTTGTCTCACTGATGACTGGTGGTAGTCCTAATATAGGATGATGACTGATCCTCCAATTGTCTCACTAATACTAGTCTAGGACAATGACCAGTCCTCCATTTGTCTCACTGATGACTGTTGGTAGTCCTCATGTAGGACGATGGCTGATCCTCCAGTTGTCTCACTGATGACTGTTGGTAGTCCTCATGTAGGACGATGGCTGATCCTCCAGTTGTCTCACTGATGACTGTTGGTAGTCCTCATGTAGGACGATGGCTGATCCTCCAGTTGTCTCACTGATGACTGTTGGTAGTCCTCATGTAGGACGATGGCTGATCCTCCAGTTGTCTCACTGATGACTGTTGGTAGTCCTCATGTAGGACGATGGCTGATCCTCCAGTTGTCTCACTGATGACTGTTGGTAGTCCTCATGTAGGACGATGGCTGATCCTCCAGTTGTCTCACTGATGACTGTTGGTAGTCCTCATGTAGGACGATGGCTGATCCTCCAGTTGTCTCACTGATGACTGTTGGTAGTCCTCATGTAGGACGATGGCTGATCCTCCAGTTGTCTCACTGATGACTGGTGGTAGTCCTAGTCTAAAATGATGACTGATCCTCCAGTGGTTTCACTGTTACCGTCCTCCAATGTTGCATCTGAAACATACAAATATATCTATTATAAACAGAATCAGAAGCAGAACCTATTTAATGTCATTCAAACAGACTTACAATCTTAAGAAATTCAGAGTTATCTTTCCTTGTACAGAAATCCTGTTATACATCCTTGTCTGATTCATATAAATGGAGGCCCGGTGAGCGTTCATTTTCATGACCTGTGGTTTTAAAACTGTATAACACTAAAATGGTCCATAATGTCACAAATTTCTCAGTCAGAATTGACTTTAGGCTTGAAGGTTGCAGCCGTACTCCAGTCATTTCCTATCAATTATAACTAAGATTTACATTAATACTATTAACCGAGTCTAAATGTCAAAATCATTAAAAAAAAATCAGGTGCGAGTCAAACTTTTATACAAAAATATTTGCAATATTTCACAACACTGATCATGACCTTAATAATAAAAGCAGTGCATTATCAGTACCATGAGATGAAGATTTAAAAAATAATCTAACTCAAGGATGTATTTTTGTAGGTTTTTCTTGCATGCAAAACCAGTCGCACACATGTCTAACATTCAATAAAGTTTATAAATAAAATAAACTTGTGCAAGTCTGTAAAATATGTCGATACCATAGTAAACCAGCAGTTTACCTTAGTAGTAGTAATTCATGGGCTTTGATAAAGTTCCTTTTCCCAATTTTTTTCCTCTCGAGAAGAAACCATTTCAAATTGATTTTTTAACACTTTATATAATAATCAAGTTCACACTTAACTTCAGAAACTATAAGTGGCTGTATATTCATGGATATACATAACAAATGAATGACAATAACAGTTCTCCCACTTTTACTGTATACATACCTATTGATCACTAGGGCATGATATGCATCGTGCATCACACTTAATGACCTCTAGAACAGTAACTACACCTTTCTAAATCTGAACTAGTACAGGGCATAAAAACAATTTGCATTTGACAATAGTTAATAAAATGTAGAATGACTCCATCAAATTTCACCTTGAGGTATTGTATTTCAAGTGATATGATAAAAAGGCCTATACAAAACAGCTTTTTCTTTAGCTATTTAAGTGTATGAGAGGCTAGTTTTAATGCCATATAATTTGTGGATACTTTTTTTAATTGGTTGTAAACTAATCGTTCGACATTCAAATTGAAGAAACTTTGTTTATTTCAAGTGAATCACTACCATCAGTTATTAATAAAAGATCCTTCTTTAAATTGGAAAAACATTTGGATTGTGTAATAATGGTAAATATTATTTTAAACAAGATCACTTACAGCCAATTGTACATTGTATACAGTAAAAAAAAATAACGAGGTGTAACTTATCCTGGGACCTTCAAATGGAATAATGGTTAATGGTAATTATTAAAAAGCAAATCACTTGACCTTCAGTTATTGATAAAAAGCATTTTCTTTTAAATTATGAAAATTTTGATTGTACAATTTTGTTAATAAGCCAAATACCTTATAGCCAATGGTACGGCGTATCCAGTATAAATACCTAGTATTAACTTGTCTAAAAGCTGACAATAGAAATGTATAATTATCTGAGTGATGGTGGAGATGGTTGATAAATAAATTTCTTTTGGAAGCATATTGAAAATATTAGCAGGCTGTTTGGTAATTAACATACTTTGTCTAAGCTCCTAAGATAAGAAACATGACATTCGTTCACAGTTAACATCATGAAATTTTTTGACTTAAACAAACATGTATAATATATATACATAATAAAAAATCTGCACTTTTTCAAAAATAGCCCATTCCTAAGAAAAACTAATTTTTCATTATCTTTTAACTTAGCAGGAAAGAACAATTTTCACACCTTTGGGAACTCCTCTCAAAATTAGGGAAACATTTGTTTGATAATAAAGGACTCATGGTACAGTTAATTCTTCAAATAAAAAAAATCCACTACATTTGTCATCATTTATTATTTTGTTATATCAAATATGATATTTATCTATGAGTTTTATTCCTTCAAAACATCTTGATCAGCCCTAATTATGGCAAAATACAAAAATACCAAAAAAACAACACAATTACAATATACATACTATGAGCTACCACCAATATGGTTAGCAAACACTAAGATATCAAATATCTTTTTCCTCTGACAGGAAATTGTTAGCATTCATGTACCAAGGATCCCACAATCAACACAAAGTCTCTTTTATGTGTTGTAAAACAATCTTAGGACCAAAAAATAAACGTCTTGTTGAGGCTTCCAGTTCTAAAACACTAGAGGTAGGTAACTTAAAGGTAGGAAAGTAATTTTATTTGTATTTTGCTAAATGTTTTAAAGGGTTAAATAGAGAATGGCAATTACAGCAATTTAAGATTAAAAAAGATAAAAAAACAAAAAAACAAGAGAGAACTCAATCAATCTAGGGTAGATAGAGACAGCAAAACATTTGTTTTTGCCTAAGGAACTTAAAATGTACATTTAGAAGTTAACTAAAACATGGTTCTGTAATATGCCTATAAAATGTAGTTTAGTCATACAAAATTTGAAACACATGCTTTTCATTTTCTCGAGGCACTTTGGGCAAGTACCATAAGTATATATTATATAGTATAACTAAATGTTTTTGTTATGTGTAAGGGCCGGCTCATCAACAACTTAAGTCATTTGGGCCAATACTTTAATTGTAGAGCTCTTTTAAGTTGACAATACACAGTATTGCTGTGTGTACATACACTTGATATTACTCATGTATAGTTAGGAAGAAGGGCCTCAATTTCCTCTCGGTTTTAAGTTGAATTCGGATCACAGATATGCCCGTCGGTTTTAAGATGAATTCGGATGTTGATTTGCCCTCTTCTGTATTTATATATCAATTACATTTGTAATCTAATATCTGCCTAGAAATGTAGAAGGAAATGAAACATTTCTTTTGCATACTTGAGCCAGTTGTCACTAACGTAACATTATGAATGATCTAGTACAACAAAAATGTCAAAGATTGTTGAACCCCAACCCTTCCTCCCATTGATCATGCCCGAGTTGAAACAAGAGGTCCTTGAGGCTGGAGATCAATCACCTGGTCATGCATATAAGGTCATAGCAGAGAAGTTGTTTGATTTTTTTTTAACACATCTGACACTTTAAATCTTAGCAATTCATTCAGCAAGTTACAGGTAAATACAGCATTATAGCTAGGTCTTCAGGTTGATCAAGCAAAGAATACTTCCATTTTAAGGTTTATCAACCAAAGGACATTTGCATTTTAATTGGTACTTAAACACTCTCAAGGACCATCGTACATCCGTACAAACTTGAACTCCCTTTTCACCACACTAGACGACATAGTACTCGAGTTGAGGTTTCAATTCTTTATAAAACACATTTGACCCCTGAGACCTTGAAAATATGTCAATGCAATTTGTACATGTTAAAACCCTGATATCTATAAAACAAAACATTTAGCTATAGGTCAAATTTCTTTGCTCTAGGCTTTGTGGTTTGCTGGAAGAAGTTCTCTACAGTTTTTACACATTAAATTTAGACCATGACTGACCTTTTAGTTAATAGGTCAAGAGTATTCATTTGCCTAATAGTATAACTCCTTTGTCCATGCTAAATGTGGCAGGTTTAATTTTAATTGTACATAGGATTACGGTTGTCTTCCAGCTTCGAGCTAGAGGTTATTTCCCTTTAGCTCAGTTGTAGAGCATCCGACCAGTAACCTGGAGAATGAGGGTTCGATCCCCGGTGGAAGCACACTATTCTCTTCCCTGTTACAAATGGTGTCCTTGGCCCTCCCTGTGGTGACAGGGAGTTAAAACTTGGGTTGTGGTGTTAGAGGGCAAACACATTTAAAAGGGGGAGTAGTGTGGCAGGTTTTAATTGTACATAGGTTTACGGTCGTCTTCCCTTTAGCTTAGTGGTCGAGTGTCCGTCTAGTAACCTGGAGATCGAGGGTTCGATCCCCGACGGAAGCACACTATTCTCTTTCCTATTACAATAAATAACATCACTCTATTATACTTAAAACATGCTTAAATCAAACTTAAAGAAGTCAATGTCTAGAAACAGATTTTTGTCTGCTAAAGTCCAGGAATATCAATACACATAACCTCCATTTGTATACACTTACCACAGTATATTTAAGTAGCGTAATTAATATAAGTCTATGTTTATAGCACTTCAGAAACATATAGCTCTAGATTAGGTCATCAAAGACTGTGTGGCATTTAATAGTTCGACAATCATGAATAGATCTAGATAGACCATGGAACAATCTGTTCATGGTCTGTTCAGTTTAACGCCAGCTTAAATTGACATGTATAATCTAAATGCCTGAGTACATTTTCAAAAAAAAATGAAAGTAAAAAAATACATACATATATGTATACTGTAGGTAAGAATTCAAAATGATTATCTTAACCCGTTCACCCCAGAAGTCACATTTGAACCTTACCAAATTAAAGACTGGGCAAGTCCAGTTTAAGTATGTAGGGGGTGAATGAGTTAACTAAGAGCAAGATTCATATCTAGATAGACTGACAGCCATATGAGATTAAGTTGATAATAAGAGGACAGTATCTGAAATGGAGGTGTATTTAATGAGTAATTTATAAATGTCGCAGTACTTATCGTGGTTACGTAACCAACCACATCTTACCCAGCCAATGGTTATATATAATATCTTTACAGGCTGTGGTTTTCATTGTATGTATACACAAAATATCAAAGGCAGGAACACTGTACTTCAATTTCAAGAAATCTTTTTGTTACATATGCCATATCTATCCTAATGACAGCCCTATCTCCATTGTATAGGATAGCGGCGCTCTTTCCTATTCTTTTTTAAACAATGATAATATGTTCATGACATAGAATAGTTCACAAAAATGTTATCCACTTGACATATCAGATATAATTATATCCTTTCGAAAATCATGACGAAAGTAAAATGCAAATTCCCGCTGCCTTCAATCTCACTTGGTTTCGTTACACTTCCCTAATTAAAAGCTCATTAATATATATATTATTACCAGCAC